GGATGCTTGTAGTGAATGGAGGCAAAAAAAATTATTTAATGTTTTTTAATAAATTAATTGCGCATTTATTACAATTTTGAAAATAATTAAACCCAGAAGCCTTTGAGTTCTGGGTTTGTGATTTAATATAAAAAAAATAAAATTTTGATTTGTGATTTAAATTTTTTTATAATATTTTTTTTTATTATAACAAAAATTTGGTTTGTGATTTTAATTAAAAATAAAAATTAAGATTAGTATTAATAAGGAAAATAAAATAAAGATTTGATTTGTGATTTAAACTAAAAAATCAATTTGAAAACTCAGTAGAAATAAAGAAAATAATTAAATAAATATTCTAAATCTCTAAGAAAGAAGGATATTATTTTTGAAATTAACGATTAATGCTATAAGCTTCTGGGTTATTATTCGTGGTCTGAAATTAATGATGGGTTATGAATGTTTTTCAAAACTAAAATTACCTAAATTAGGCGTGATTGCCTCTTAATTGAAACCCAATTTAGACGTGATTGGTGACGTGTCAAGTGTTGACACGCGTTGACACGTGTCACATTTTTAATCTCAGAAGCCTCTGAGTTCTGGATTTGTGATTTAATATAAAAAATAAATCAAGATTTGATGTGTGATTTAAATTAAAAAATAATTTTTTTTTATAAAAAAAATTAGGTTTTTGATTTAAATTAAAATTAAAAATTATTATTAATATGGATAACAAAATAAAGATTTGATTTGTGATTTAAACTCAAAAATCAATTTGAAAAGTCTGAATTAATAAATAAAATAATTAAATAAAAATTCTAAATCTCTAAGGAAATTTTTTGAAAAACATTCATAAGCCACCATTAATTTCAGACTACGAATCAAATCACAAATCAAATTTTTATTCATTTTTTTAATTTAAATTACAAATCAAATCTTTATTTATTTTTTTATATTAAATCACAAACCCAGAACTCGGAGGCTTCTGGGTTTAACCGCTCTTATAATATCATTCTTGCAAATTTAAATTATGTTTGTGAGAAATAAAATATATCAAATGAGATGTCATTGCGTAGATCTCGAAAAGTTATGTGGAATCAAAAAAAGAATTACCTGATTTGGATACCCGAGTCAAAAGTTATGGCCTTCAGAAATTTTATGATTAAATTAATTTTTTTTTTGGAAAAAAATTATGACACGTGTCAACACCTCATTAGTGACGCCCAAATTTAGGCGTGATTGCCTCTTGAGTGACGCCTAATTTCGGCATCATTGGTGACACCCAAAATGAGCGTCTTATTGTGAAATAAATGTAATTATTTCCAAAAGTGTAATAAAAGCGTAATTAATTTATTAAAAACATTAAATAAATTTTTTGGTGATTTAATTTCAGACTCCGAATCAAATCACAAATCAAATTTTTATTCATTTTTTCTAATTTAAATCACAAATCAAATTTATCAAAAAAAAAATCACAAATCAAATTTTATTTATTTTTTTATATTAAATCACAAACCCAGAACTCAGAGGCTTCTGGGTTTAACTGCTCTTATAATACCATTCTTGCAAATTTAAATTATGTTTGTAACAGCCCGTTACGTACTGGTAATGTTATCATTGCATATGGTATTAAGCGCAGTTACAATCACAGTAATTGAGTTAATTAAATTACGGGTAAACTTTTTCTTTTATTACATTCCTTTCTTTAAACCTTAACCATTTCCGTAATCAATTAAAACAATGCCATAATTGTAAATGCAAAACTCGCGGAAGCATAAAATATACTCATCATCAACTCTCTAAGCAATACCATTCATTTTAGCTTTTAAAAAATCCATTTTCAAATTTTAACACAGTGGTAATCGATTACCATCCTTGAGGTAATCGATTACCAAAGGTTACTGTAGAAGTCAGAACCTCAAATTCAGCTCCCCTGTTTTCTGGTAATCGATTACCAGATATTGGTAATCGATTACTGAACTAGGTAATCGATTACCAATGCTCTGGTAATCGATTACTCTGTAGACAGAAGCTCAATTTTTCGTTCCCTGTTGCAGGTAATCGATTACCAGTGAAAAGTAATCGATTACTATGCAGCAAAAATGACAGATGACAGCTTTTAAGACCCAAAATGAGTGGTCTAACATACTCCTAACACCTTGATACTTATTATACACCTTACATAAGTATTAACGTAGGCTCTAGGCCCTTCCATCATGCATATTCATTAATAAATGCATCATTACAACCATTTGCAATATAATAGCCATTTTACACAACCAATGGTCTATTTACAACTCAAGTCTTCCAATGCCTCAAAATACAATTATGTGGCCATGGACAAGTCCCATGCTCACTCAAAATACAAAATGACAAGAGGCATAACTATACATCAACTTAAAGGACTTAACATATGGTCATAAATATACAAGAGCATGGCAATATTCACATGCAACAAGTTCATATCCTAAGTCCAAAATATCACATACTACACTATGTACATCAAAAGGAATCCTTCAATATGTCATGCTCTCCAATGCACCTCACGCTCTACTCTTCCACTAAGCGGGCCTCTTGCCCGGAGATCCACCATGCTCAGCAAGACCTGAAATGATGTCCCCAAACGCGGGGTGAGATATACAAATATATCTCAGTAAACCAAGGGTACTAGAGGATCACTCCACCCCATGGCTCACTCAATGTGCATACAATGATCATCATATAAAATGCATAACATACAAATATCACACAACAACAACTGGGCACAAATCCAAGGACATCCACATTAGGATTCCCTTAAAGGACCCCATTATATAACTCCCGGAATCTCCCTGGTGCCTCTCCCATGGTTGAGACGACCCCATGGCAAAACCCAACTGGAACTCCTCATGAGACCTATCCAGCGGAAGTCCCACGTTTGGATCATCCTGGTACCGCTCCCAGAGTCAGTTCCACGGCAAAACCCGACCGGAATCCCCAAAGGATATCTCCAGCGGACGTCCAAACCAACACACATCTACTGGCCAGAGATCACAATTATATCACACAACATGTTCCAAACATGTCACACAATCATGTCAATAATGCATGAACATACATTTATACATAATCAAAGGCATCAAATCCAACCACAACCTTCCACTAGGTGTGGTGGAACACACGAGGGAATAAAACCCAAGTTCCAAAGGTTTACCTCAACTTTGAAGCCAATGCTCCACAACGTAAGCTCCAAGCTTAATTCTCCCCTATTGAGTCCGAGAGAGGAAACCTATAATGATCAATCAACATGATCATCAATACAATTTCAAGACAACCAATTCACTTTCAAATACAATAATTCTCAACAAGACAACTTAGGACTAATGGCCAACTACATTTAATCCACTTACTTCAACCATTTTAGTCATTAAACTAAATCACCACTTATGCACTAAGACATCACTCATTGATTATACCACATTTTCACATCATTTTCCTTATTTCCTTCGATATGGTTGAAATCTCACACACAATACACATCCAACATTCCTCCTTTCAATTTCACTACATCAAACCAACCTACCATTCATTTAAACACCAATCATGATCATATAACATCAACTATATCATTTTTACACCGTCACCCCACCAATGACCTCAATAGGTCGAATTTCACATTCCCATCAACCTAGGGGTATTCAATCCAATTCCACACTCATACTCATCATATAATCGTATTATTTACACATTACCAACCTTCCCAACCACCACAATTCATGTTCACATTTCACATTTTCACCAATTTCCACCAAAATACACCAAGTTATGGAATCCCAACATCACAATAAATTTTATTTCATGAATCATCATTATTTAGCATTTTAAGCATATAACTCCAAAGGAGCAACATCATTTGAGGTTCCCAACTACCCCCATTCATCATACATCATCAAAGGTTCCTAAACATCACATTCATCAATACCTCATCTCAATTACCAATTCAACAATCATACACCTCAAACAATCATATTACCACATTCTACAACCTCCGACCATTCTATTTTCACTCAACTCATTTTCCACTTTCATGACACTCAATTTTCTAAGTTAAACTTCAACATTTTCAACTAGAATTTTCATAGCATTCCTAACTCAAACAAGTCATTCTAAGACATTATCAGTAATGTAATTTTTCCATTTGAGCTTCCTATCATCACAAATCCATAAATACAAGAATAGGGTTCATATATTTTGATCAATGAATTCAACCGTAAAAATTATGTAAATATACTCACAATCAACGCTAGACTCTCCTCCAAGGATTTTCCAAGCAACAAGAGGTCCATTGCCCCCTTGAACACCATCTTTTCCAAATTTCTCAAAACTGACCTAGGCCAAATACTCCACATGGAAGCGATTTCAAGGCTTAGGAGTATCACCAATGGATTTAGAACTTGTTTTCCAATGGATTTCAACACCAAGATCAAAAGATTTGGCCAAGAAATGATGATTTGGGGAAGGAAGGAAAAAGCTTCATCAATGGTGGGAAGGGGACGGCTTTTTACGCTGGGGAAGAGAGAAAGAAGAGAGAGAGTGTTCGTGAGATTGTGAGAAGATGAAGGCACTTAAGTGGGTTTTGGGTTGAGCGGGTCCCACACGCGATTTAACTTTGATCAATCACCTAATTCTGATCACAAATTCATAATCTACATATTTTTCTGGTTCATGACATATTTTTGTTTCCGAAACATATTGATAAAAATTTCACTCTTATCGGTACCATTATACCGCAGTATTTTTACACCGGGAAAATCACTATTCATCAAAATTTTCAAAACTTGCCTATTCACTCGATTTTTCGTCCTGAATCCATTTCCAGCATTATTTTTATCATTTGAGGTCTTCTACTCAATTTTCATGCCTCGGGTTACGTGTTTGGTAATTTACCATTTTTCCCTTTTCACACAGTTTGGCCTTAATTTCTGGATTTTCACTAATCCTTCCCTTTTAACCCACATTATAGCATATAATTTCATATTTCGGTTCATGTCGTTATGGAATTATGTGAACGGGGTGAGCTTTATGATAGGATTGTGGGAAAGGGATATTACACGGAAAGAAAGGCAGCTAAACTTGCAAGGACTATAGTTAGTGTTGTTAAGGATTGCCACGCCCTTGGAGTAATACATCTTGATCTTAAGCCTGAGAATTTTCTTTTCGTTAATGGCCATGAAGACTCCACCCTTAAGGCAATAGATTTTGGATTGTCTGTTTTCTTTAAACCAGGTTCGATTTTCTTTTCCTTTTTCCCCCTTGTTCAATTAAAATCTATCCCTAATTGTTTATGATGTACTAACTAATGATGTGAGTCATATTTGTTGTAGTAACAGATAATTAATTTGATATGAGAACATGCAAAGCTTTCCTGAAGAATTGAATTCTTATTGATGCTTCCCTAAATATAACAAGTTTGACAAAACAAATATATATATATATATATTTTGCATTGTCATAATTATATGATTGCTATGAGTGTTTGTCACTAACAATCTTCATTTACAGGAGATGTTTTCAAGGATCCGGTTGGAAGTCCTTTTTATATAGCACCTGAAGTTCTAGGCAAACGTTATGGCCCAGAAGCTGATGTCTGGAGTGCTGGTGTGATCATATACATTCTCTTATGCGGAACACCTCCATTTTGGGGTGGTAAGAGTTCTTAAGATGTCTTTCCCTTGATGATCCAATCATTTTGTTTAATTTCTATTTCCTTATAGGTTTCTTCTGGTTCTAAAAATTGAGATTTTTTATTTTGTTCCTTGGTAATAGGAACAGAGCGAGAAATATATTGGAATGTTTTGCATGGTGATCTTAATTTCTCTTCAGATCCTTGGCTGTATATATCTGAAAGTGCAAAAGACTTGATTAGGAAGATGCTTGTTAGAGATCCTAAACAAAGGATAACAGTTGATGAAGTTCTTCGTAAGTTTCAGTTTATGAATAAAATCACTGTACTGCTAATCTTTCAGTTTTTTCAAACACACACCCTAAGAACAAATTTATTGTATTTTTAAATATTTTGGACGAAAAAATCTGCATTGTATTGCCAGACTTTCTGACTTGTGAGTATTAATTGTAATTGTGACAAAATCATAGAACTTGAGGTTTTGTTACCATCTTGTAAGTGATCATGTTCCTTTTCTTTGCAGGTCACCCTTGGTTTCAGGTTGATGGAGGTGCGCCTCTTGATTCTGCAGCTTTGAGTCGCCTGAAGCAGTTTTCTTTAATGAAAAAGCTCAAGAAAACGGCTTTTACAGTAAGTAATCTTTCCATTACATAACTGTGTCCCATGAGAATATATGTTTTCCACTCTTTTGGGAATGATGACTAGTAGATTGTTATATATTGACTTTTATTTGCAAAGTTGAATATGTCAACATCTTAAATTCAATTTGGAATCATCAAATTATGCTCTTTTAATATTTTCCATATTGTTCTGTGAAGATTATTGCACAGAATCTTTCTGAAGAAGAAATTTCTGGTTTGAAAGAAATGTTTAAGAAGATAGATACTGACAACAGTGGTCAAATAAGTTTTGAAGAACTCAAGGTTGGACTGAAAACGTTTGGTGCTAATCTCAGGGGATCTGAAATTTTCGATCTAATGCAAGCTGTAAGTATTACTTCAGAATTTTCTTTAATTTCCTTAACGTCACAAAATAAACCTATATTTCGTACCCTTTATTTTGGTTTGGCCAAACATTTTCTCCTGTTAGAATATTAGGATTCTTATTGCTTTAGGACTTCTTATTATGTTAGTAGGAGTAGTCCTATTGGACTTGATTTGTTCATGTTGTAACTTGACCAAGATTATGATAAGTGTTTGTTTATGATTAATCTTGCAAGGAAAGCTCTTTGTAATCATTTCTTGAAACATGTTTATACAAAGTAGCGAAAAGTATAATAATAAATAACAATAAAAAAAATATTATAATAAATCACTTCTACTAGCACATTGTTATAATCCATTTGTCCCACTTTTGTTTCTGATTGCAGGCAGATGTTGATAACAGTGGTACAATAGACTATGGAGAATTCATAGATGCAACATTGCATTTAAACAAAGTTGATATGGAAGATCATTTTGTTGACGCATTCTCATATTTTGATAAAGACGATAGTGGCCACATCACTCAAGGTAAGCTTCAAGCTTGTGAAGAATTCGGCACGCAGGATGTCCTCTTGGAGGAAATGATCCGAGAAGCTGATCAGAATAATGTGCGTACATTTTACAGTAACGTAATTTAATGCATGCTATGTTATCTGATGAATGAATCCATAACGCTTCAAGAATAGGATGCCCTTAACGTAATTTGGTAGTGTAAAAGATCCAATTAACTTAAAACTTTAGTTGTCAGGTGAGGGGTTACATTAATGATTTTATATTATATCTCTCTACCAGGTAAATTGAATATTGATAGATCTTCTACTTAAATTCACCTAAGAAGGAAGAACCAACCAAAAAAAAGAATTGAACGGGGTAGCATTGTTATAAGTGATCTCATGTTGGTGTTCCTGATCAAATTGAAACTTAATACCAATTGAATGAAAATTTATTTAACATTCTGAACCATTCTTTCTCTGTTCTGATTTTTTATTCTCATGTAATGTGTTTGGTGTGGCTTGCATGATTTTTAGTTATGTTAAACAAAGATTATGCTGCACTGGAATTCCAAATTTCATTCATATTTTGACGATGTTGTTATGTTCATGTTTTACCATTTCAGGATAGCCGAATAGACTACAATGAATTCGTGGCTATGATGCAGAGAGGCAATGCAGATTTAGGTAGTAGCGGTCTAAAGGATAACACTAGTTTTAGCATTGGATTTATGGAGGCACTCTCAGTATGTTAAGAAAAAGTGGATACGTTTTTCTTGCTTTTGTTAACTTAGCATTTCCCTGCGGGGTGGTGAATTTAGTTCCTCTTAAATAGCTTAGCCAATAGCTATTATTCTATTTTTTGTTTTTTGGTAATCAATGGTTATTATTCTTTAAAAATGTTGATAGGTTTGTTTCTTGGGTTTTGCCATTTTATGTAAATCATAGAGGAAAACATGATCTTGGCAATTTAGTCTTTGATTTTTGACTTGGTGACATTTTTCATTCACACCAGCATTTATATAGGAGAATTGAATGCATCTTTTTAGAGAAGGACAATTCATCTCAACAAGTTTAACATGAACTGATGAAAGAGTGAATTGACTATCGAGTTGGTAGAGGGAGCTTTTCAAATGGGGCCTGTCATGTTCATCACTTAGGGTTCAAAGTATTGTTATAATGTCTTGCCTAATGTAAAAAAATCACAATTTGGATTATATTTCTATCTCGCCTCTAAATGGTGGATATGAATTGTGATGTAAAACAACCTATCTATAAAGTGGAAAATTAAAATAAATTCAAATCTGAATTTGCTGCAAGGCTAAAGATTTAAGGCCAAATTTTGGTTATCTGGATTTGGAAGTCTAATTTGAAGAACGAAATGAAAAATTGCTAACTTTTCCAAATTCGCCGATTGAAACATTACCTTATATGATCCAAACACAATGTTATAACTTATAGCCATGGTATCATCATCTCAATAATTTTTCGAATAATAATTTTATTCTCATTTCACCAAGAAAAAAAAAATCTCGTGGCTCAGGAAGAAAGCACAAAAAAAGACCAAACATACATGTTGTTTGTATATTAATCGAATTATTCCCTGCATACGTATTCTGCTTTATATAGGGAAACATCCCATGTAGGGTTTTTGACTTCTATGTAAAGCCTTTTGATAAGGACAACGGAAGATACACTGAACTCTGGTCAATTTGTAGGTATATGCTATTCTCCAATGTATAATATTTGCTATTCAAAAGGATAGAATTGGGTAAAAATTAAGTTGTAATGCTTTCCATTATACTAGTATATTAACCGCGCGATGCACGATAAAAAAGATCAAAAATTTTGTCGTCCGTCGTGGTTGGTTAATCGCACTACAAACCTTATACTTACAAAAAACTGTGTTGCAATCTTGTTTTATAATTCAGGTGGAAAAAATTACAACTTTGACACTGAACTTTGCAAATATCAACCATAAACAAAAATATGCTATCCAGAGTGATCAATATTATGCAAATCAAATATAGTTATCTACTCGATGAGTTATGTAAAAAATAAATACGCCATAGTAGATTATGTTAAAATGAGGATGGCTAAAAAAAGAAAAATGCATACAACTTATTGCTAACTATAACAGCCACCAATAAAATCAAGGTAACAAACAGACCAAGCAAATATGGAATTAAAAGATCAGCTTGTACCTATAATAAGAAAATGTTATTAATTCAGTGTCATTCTGTAGCAATCATTGGAGGGATGAGTTCAACACATACCAAACATGTGATTTCTTATGTTTATGCATTACCAAAGACATCATCTTTTACAAATTTGTATTTACCAAAATTAAAATCAGATTTAGGAACTTAATTATAAAAGAAGAAGGATAAAATTTTAATTTAACTACAAAAATGTGTTGGTGGGCTGGCCTTCCGGGCCGAGCTCAGTTTGCCCCATCTAACTATCAGCATGCAATATGTTTTTATATTTATCCACAAAAAATGTTCTTATATCCACATTTACGTTTTTATATTTTATCTCAGAGGTGGAATTTCGTTTACTACAATTAGATTTAAAAAAATAATAATAAATAATTATTTTTTGCAAGGATTTGTGTCGTTTGTATTTGAAATTTTACAAATTTTTATTTACACAAATTAAAATCAGATTTAGGAATTTAATTATAATAGAAAAAGGATGAAATTTTAATTTAATTATAAAACTGTGTTGGTGTGCCGGCCCTCCGGGCCAAGCCCAGTTTGCCACCTCTAACTATTAGCATGTAATAGGTTTTCATATTTATTCATAAAAAAGGCTGTTATAGTTGTATTTGGTATTTTATATTTTATCTCAGAGAAGAATTTTCATTTATTACAATTAGATTTATAAAATAATAATAAATAATTTCCAAAACTGTAATAAATGTATAATTATTTCCAAAACTGTAATAAATGTGTAATTAATTTATTAAAAAGCATTAAATAAATTTTTTTGCCGGAAAAGTTTCTGTCTAAGAAAACAAAGAAGGAAATAGGAGGGAAAGAGAATGAGTAAGAAAACAAAGAACGTTTTAAATAGGAGGGAAAGCTCTTCCGTTTTTTCGCATTTCCGGATGAACTTTCCAGATTCCACCTCCTCCGTTCTGCACTGCGATTTCACGATCTTAGAGGTGGAGCATCGTTCGCGTTTGCCGTCACATGAAGAGGAATTGAGTTGGTTATCGTCGCTGTTGTCGTCGTCGCTCCACACCCACCCCATTTTTCTGTTTCCAATTTGTTATCCCTCAAATTCACCTCTCCATTTGAGAATTCAGAGACTGGGTTTAAGCGGTGCGTTTCAATTCAATCGTTAACAAATACGAGTGACTACAAAAATAAATTTAAATTACCATTAAGCTTGCGAAACACGTAGGCTTCTGTATCAAATGGAAACAAGGAATAAAAAGAGAAGTTTCAGGATGCTTGTAGTGAATGGAGGCAAAAAAAATTATTTAATGTTTTTTAATAAATTAATTGCGCATTTATTACAATTTTTGAAAATAATTACACATTATTGCACAATAAGACGCCCATTTTGGGTGTCACCAATGACGCCTAAATTGTACTTCACTCAAGAGGCAATCACGCCTAAATTTGGGCGTCACTCATCAGGTGTTGACACGTGTCATATTTTTTTTCCAAAAAAAAAAAATTAATTTAATCATAAAACTTCTGAAGGCCATAAATTTTGACTCGGGTATCCAAATCAGGTAATTCTTCTTTTGATTCCGCATAACTTTTGAGATCTACGCAATGACATTTCATTTGACATATTTTATTTCTCACAAACACAATTTAAATTTGCAAGAATAGTATTATAAGAGCGGTTAAACCCAGAAGCCTTTGAGTTCTGGGTTTGTGATTTAATATAAAAAAATAAAATTTTGATTTGTGATTTAAATTTTTTTTATAATATTTTTTTTTATTATAACAAAAATTTGGTTTGTGATTTTAATTAAAAATAAAAATAAAGATTAGTATTAATAAGGAAAATAAAATAAAGATTTGATTTGTGATTTAAACTAAAAAATCAATTTGAAAACTCAGTAGAAATAAAGAAAATAATTAAATAAATATTCTAAATCTCTAAGAAAGAAGGATATTATTTTTGAAATTAACGATTAATGCTATAAGCTTCTGGGTTATTATTCGTGGTCTGAAATTAATGATGGGTTATGAATGTTTTTCAAAACTAAAATTACCTAAATTAGGCGTGATTGCCTCTTGATTGAAACCCAATTTAGACGTGATTGGTGACGTGTCAAGTGTTGACACGCGTTGACACGTGTCACATTTTTAATCTCAGAAGCCTCTGAGTTCTGGATTTGTGATTTAATATAAAAAATAAATCAAGATTTGATGTGTGATTTAAATTAAAAAATAATTTTTTTTTATCAAAAAAAATTAGGTTTTTGATTTAAATTAAAATTAACAATTATTATTAATATGGATAACAAAATAAAGATTTGATTTGTGATTTAAAATCAAAAATCAATTTGAAAAGTCTGAATTAATAAAGAAAATAATTAAATAAAAATTCTAAATCTCTAAGGAAATTTTTTGAAAAACATTCATAAGCCACCATTAATTTCAGACTACGAATCAAATCACAAATCAAATTTTTATTCATTTTTTTAATTTAAATTACAAATCAAATCTTTATTTATTTTTTTATATTAAATCACAAACCCAGAACTCGGAGGCTTCTGGGTTTAACCGCTCTTATAATATCATTCTTGCAAATTTAAATTATGTTTGTGAGAAATAAAATATATCAAATGAGATGTCATTGCGTAGATCTCGAAAAGTTATGTGGAATCAAAAAAAGAATTACCTGATTTGGATACCCGAGTCAAAAGTTATGGCCTTCAGAAATTTTATGATTAAATTCATTTTTTTTTTTTGGAAAAAAATATGACACGTGTCAACACCTCATGAGTGACGCCCAAATTTAGGCGTGATTGCCTCTTGAGTGACGCCTAATTTCGGCATCATTGGTGACGCCCAAAATGGGCGTCTTATTGTGCAATAAATGTAATTATTTCCAAAACTGTAATAAAAGCGTAATTAATTTATTAAAAACATTAAATAAATTTTTTGGTGATTTAATTTCAGACTCCGAATCAAATCACAAATCAAATTTTTATTCATTTTTTCTAATTTAAATCACAAATCAAATTTTATTTATTTTTTATATTAAATCACAAACCCAGAACTCAGAGGCTTCTGGGTTTAACTGCTCTTATAATACCATTCTTGCAAATTTAAATTATGTTTGTAACAGCCCGTTACGTACCGGTAATGTTATCATTGCATATGGTATTAAGCGCAGTTACAATCACAGTAATTGAGTTAATTAAATTACGGGTAAACTTTTTCTTTTATTACATTCCTTTCTTTAAACCTTAACCATTTCCGTAATCAATTAAAACAATGCCATAATTGTAAATGCAAAACTCGCGAAAGCATAAAATATACTCATCATCAACTCTCTAAGCAATACCATTCATTTTAGCTTTTAAAAAATCCATTTTCAAATTTTAACACAGTGGTAATCGATTACCATCCTTGAGGTAATCGATTACCAAAGGTTACTGTAGAAGTCAGAACCTCAAATTCAGCTCCCCTGTTTTCTGGTAATCGATTACCAGATATTGGTAATCGATTACTGAACTAGGTAATCGATTACCAATGCTCTGGTAATCGATTACTCTGTA